TTCTATGATTCTATGATTCTATGTTCAGAACAAAGTATATAAGTCTGTTCTGAGATGGCTGGAATAGAATAAATCCATTAGGAACCACTGTTTTAGACTACCCTGCTTATTTTTAATACTCTTTGGTTGTTAAAGAATTGAAAACAACTTCAAATATAGGTCTTAAGGGGCTCTACTGGGAATCACTGATTTTTTTTGGAATTTTTTTCTTTTCTTTTCTTGACTGCATGGCAACATGTAATTCTAACCATTAGAATGAGAAAGGCAATTGACTGCCTTGGTGCATGTGTGATGGAATATGTTTATCAGCATGTGAGTTAAGGATCTAAATCACTGCTGGTCAAGCAAAAATTAGCCGTTTTACTATGCTGGAGTTTTGAAATGGCTGTCAGGATGATCACTCAGAGCTTATTAAGAGGATCTCGTACAAACTGGGTAAGGATGATTGCTGGTCTGCTAGCTTAATTTGAATAACTGGTTACTCTGAGTCTCTGCCCTAAAGAACCATGAACTGTGATAACACGTATGATGAAACTATACAACATTAAAAATGTGTCTTGCATTCTTGCCTGACAAACTAGTTTAGTGCAACACGACACCAAGTTGGACTGAGGCTGCAGCAGACTTCAATTCCTTTAAATGAAATTGAAAAGAAACGATCCCAAATCAAGACTTGAATGGGAGTGCAGGGGTGAATTTACTGTCCTATTTCACACCCTTCCCTCTCCCTGCCACAAAAAGAGATTAAAAAACAAAAAGTAATTTTCTTTTTAATTACCCATGATAATTTGAAATATCCTTATACTGGATGATTATTTTAAGCTTCAACCAGATACTTAATTCTTAACTGCAAAACAGCAAGTTATTTATGTGTGACTTCTGTCTTGTGACTGTGTTCAACAAATGATGTCTTAAATCTGGACAACAGCTAACTACTGAAAAGGAATGTCCTTCTAAAGAGCTAGCTTTGTGGTTTGGGTTTTGGTGACAGAGTGAAAGCTAGAAGAGTTTTAGTTTCCTTCAAAACCACAAAAAAATAGCATGTTGTTCTTTTACATTGACTGCCGGAGGAATAGAAAAGAATCTTGGGACTTTAGTCCTCCAGTACTCCAAATGAAGCTTCCAAAAACGTCAGATGCCAAACTTGCTCTTGTAAACAGCTCTGCTTTAGGAACTATTTGTTCCTTACATGAGTCACTGCTATGACAGCTTCTCTTACTGGGCAGTTAATGATTTCAAATTCAATAGATAACGTCTCTCTTATAGTCAAAAGATACTAGTAAGCAAAATTGGTTTATTCTTAATCGTAAAATTACTTGAGTTTAGTTCCCAGTCCCCATTCAGGAAAAAAAGTGGAATTTTCTGAAAAGTGGACTTTAGAGCACTTACCGTAAGGTTCTCTTGGCCCATTACTGGCATTTTTCAGTAAACACTCCTTTTTGTTTGTTCTCTTGGTAATAAATAACAAAAGGAACGAATAAATAAATTACAAATTCAGTCATGGCAAGTCTTGTCTATTCAGCTGCAAAATGAGAACCATGCATGTTATCCTGCAGCTTGTATCCCTAATATGCAGTATAGAGATAGCTACCTCACTTTTGGGGAAGAGCAGACGGTAAGTGATTTTTGTCTTCTGCAACTATCTCTACTGTGTTTTTTCTCTTAACACAGAGCATGAACATCCAATGTAGACATTTCTAATGGTAGCTTGCTCAGATATCCTATGAAATGGAAACTACCTTTTGCTGTGTTTCAAGGAGTCAAACACCAATGGTTTATCCATTTGTTTCATTTCTATGTGTCACAAAAAGGTGACAGATAGCAATTGAAGCCATATTCTTGCAGGGAGGTGGAGCTCAGGCACCTGTTTGCTGTTTCACGCTGAGTGTGAAATATCTAATTTCAATCTATTTCACTTTGAAGATGCACAATCTTATGCTGACAGTACTTCTCTCCCTATTTAAAGTCTCCTAGACTTTCTAATCTTTGGAAATATAACCTATGTATTTGCACTGCAAATATCACTAGAAGGAGAATGAAGACTTAGTCCCTACAAAATGATCATGTGAAAACAGCTAAAGAGCTACTCTACTGGAAATGTCTATATAGCATTTAGAAGCATGGTCAGATGAAAGAATGTAGGTCTTATAACAGATAGATGTTATAGCAAGTCCAGAGAAGGCCACGAAGTTGATAACAGGACTGGAGCATCTCCCCTATGATGACAGGCTGAGAAAGTTGAGGCTGTTCAGCCTGGCGAAGAGAAAGCTGAGCGCAGATCTCATAGAAGCCATCCAATATCTGAAGGGGCCTACAGAGAGGATGGAGAGGGACTTATCATCATAAACTGTAGAGACAGTCAAGGGTAATGGGTACAAACTGAAAGAGGGGAAATTTAGGTTAGATATTGGGAAGAAATTACTTACTGTGAGGGTGGTGAGATATTGCAACAGGTTGCTCAGAGAGACTGTGGATACTCAACCCTGGGAGTGTTCAAGGCCAGGTTGGATAAGCCTTTGAGCAACTTGGTCTAGCACAAGGTGTCTCTGCTTATGGCAGGAGCAGTTGGGACTAAATGATCTCTAAGGCTCATTGCAGTCTCTTAACCTTCTATAATTCTGTGTTCAGAATAAATTGGCAGCCATCGTCTGTGAGACTTACTTTGCAATATATGAAGCATTTTGTAATGGCATGTGAAAGCTATTTGAATGACAAAGTATTATTGACTTTTGCACATGTGTGTAGTCCAGAGGGTGGCTGTTGCTACTATTGCTTGAGATACCTGACAGACTTTGAAGAGCAGCCTGCAAACCTGTGAAGATTTCTGCTTTCCTATCTCATAGAATCATAGAATGATTTGGGTTGGAAGTTACCTTAAAGACCATCTACTTCCAACCCCCCTCCCATGGGCAGGAGCACCTTCCACTAGACCAGGTTTCTCAGAGCTCTGTTCAGCCTGGCCTTGAACACCTCCAAGGATGGGGCATCCATAATTTCTCTGATCATCTGGTTCTAGTGCCTCCTCACCTTCACAGCAAAGAACTTCCTTCTAATATCTAATCTAAACCCACTGTCTTATTCCATTCCTCCTTGTCCTGTCACTACATGCTCTTGTAAAAAGACCCTCTCCATCTTGCTTGTAGGCTCCCTTCACATAGTAGAAGGCTGCAATTAGGTCACCCTTAAACCTTCTCTTTTCCAGGCTGAACAAACTCAATTATCTCAGCTTTTCCTTGTAGGAGAGCTGTTCCATCTCTCTAATCATCTTGGTGGCCTCCTCTAGACTCACTCCAACAGGTCCATGTTCTTCCTGTGCTGAGGACTACACAGCTGGATACAGTTCTCCAGATGGAATCTCACCAGAGCAGAACAGAGAGGCTTCTGCCTCTCTTGACCTGCTGGCCACGCTGCTTTGAATGCAGCAGGGGGTCACAGTTTGCTTTCTGGTCTGCAAGCACACACTGCTGTACCACATCCAGCCTCCCATCCACCAGCACCCCAAGTCCTTCTTGGCAGGGCTGCTCTTGATCTGTTCATCCTCCAGCCTGTGTTGCTATGAGGAGTTGCCCTGACCAAGCTGCAGCACCTTACACTTGGTCTTATTAAACATCATGAGATTCCCATTCGTCCACTTCCTGAGCTTGTCCAGGTCCCTCTGGATGGGATCCTGTCCTTGAGGTATCAACTACACCACACAGCTTGCTGTCATCTGCAAATTTGCTGAGGATGTAGTCAATCTTTTCATCTATGTCATTACTGAAGACATTAAATAACACTGGTCACCTGAAGGGTGATGGACACCTGAAGGGCACCACTTGTCACTGATGTCCACCAGGACTCTGAGCCACTGACCACTACCATCTGGACACGACCATCCCACCATTTTCTTCTCCATCTAACAGCCCACCCATCTAATCCCTCTCTCTCTCAATTTAGAGAGAAAGATGTTGTGGGGGACCTTGTCAAAGGCTTTGCAGAGGTGCAGATAAATGGCATCTCTAGCCCTTCCCCTGTCCACTGATGTAGTCATCCATCATACAAGGTCACTAGGCTGGTCAGGCACTTGCTCCTGATGTTTCCATGGTTATTATAATTTTGCATTCAGATCCAATTAAAGCACTGGTTTCATATAGTCAAGTTAGAAACAGTCTCCAGCCAGAAGATACAATTATTACAGAGAATCCATAGCAGACAACATTAGCCAGTAGCTTGGCTTCCAAGCATACCAAAAACTATGCAGCTTGATGATGGTGCTAGCACCTACAGTTGTCAAAGTTATGCCCTCATGTGATGCTATCATGTCTCCAAATTCAAGAGAAGCATTGCATTCACACTTGGTCAGTGACAATTATCAAACCAAGATTTTTCTTGAGTCATCAGTTTTGTAACTGATGAACTCAATAGCTCTCTGTTTTGAAGTATGGCTCAACAACAAATCAGCAGAGTTGTGTGGCCTGAGGGTATATAAAACTGTGTAATCCAAGGCAAGATGCAAACAATTCTGTGTACTGATTGTGAAATGGCTTTCCCTTTCCAAAGAGTATGCTTCTGTCCCTCAAACCTCCCAATAATGGATAGCAGAGAAGGTACGTTGATTTCCATGCTTGTCTCTGAAGTTCTTGCTCTCAACTGTCACCTTCAGGGATGTTCTTCAGTAGCTGAGCTGCTTTTACCTCCTCTCTTACTTAAATTTTGTGACTTAATACCTATTTCAGTGTGGTTTTTCAGTAACTCTTTTGACTCAGATTTAATGTGGAGGTGACAAGCTTCCCAATTTTCCTAATATGTATGTTTTTCTAAACAATGTTGTTGAATAAAATGCTCTTTCCATATATGTCTCTTTGAATGGATTGGATGCATTGTTGGTGTTTCAGAGTTCAAAATACTCATTTGCAATGAGCTTTTTCTGATTTCTTTTTTAGTTTTTTCTTTCTCTAACCTTGAGTAAATCCAAGACCCTAAAGCTGGATCTGCAGCAAATCATGTGAACCTTGTACCCTAATCTGGATGAGGCCCAGGGGGGTGTGTATATCACTTAATGAATATTTTTGCAGAAATTTTGGGGTTTGGATTACCATAAAATGATAGAATCACTTAGGTTGAAAAATACCTTTAATTATCTGAAAAACATGTGCCACCTGAAAGGCAAGTCAAAGACTACCACTGACTCTCATTTGCAGACAGTTGATGACAAGACTTTCATTTGCATTGGAAAATTCAACTCAGCCTTTTCTGCCTAGAATTCTTATTTTTGACTTAAAATACTGACTTACAGCAACCTTTGGGAGACTCTTTAGGACCTGTCGTAGCTTGAGTCTGATTGTTTCTTTAGGCACACCAGTGCTCTCCATGACTCATTCTTACTACCTGTAAGGTATTTTGGCTGCAATTTTAAGGTAATAATTTAAAAGTTCAGATATATGTTTCAATGTAAACTTCTTTAGCATGTAAATACTTGATTGCTAGGAATAAGATATCTGTCTTTAGAAATCCTATTAGATGCATCAATATATCTGTAAGGTCTAGCATCTAAGGGTTCCCACTCCTACTATCTTCAAGGGCAGCCTATCAGTCTTCAACCTAAGATGCCAGAATAGATGTTGTTACTCAGAAGTTTACAGTCCTGCATCAGCAAGGAGATGGAAAGGTCACATATGCAGGCACCTTGCACATACAGGAGGAGCAAGCTGATTCTCATTCATTTGCCAGAGCAGTATATTTTCATTTCTTCCCACTGTGGATGTTACTGTCATGCTGAGTGGTGGGAAAATGTTTCATAGAATACTGTACAGCAACTTTTCAAGCATTACTTGCTTAGCATGAAGTATCTGTAAGATGAGCTAATTAGTGATGAAGTAGTTGTCTTTGAAGATGCTGGAGAGCTACATCAGATTTCAAATACACTACTCTCTTGAGATCTCGTACAATGTTCCATTTAAAACAGGGCCTTAAATTAGGTTTTCCAGGGTTCCTATCAAACAGTGCTGCATATTTCCAGAGAAGGACCTTCTACCATTTTCTTGGGTAACCTTTTTCAATGTTTGAAAAGCAGCCTGACCTCAGGATAATGTCTTGGGTTTATTTTAATATTCAGATGAAATTTGTCCTGAAGCAACTCCTGGATAGGGCCTCTATCTTCTATATAACTACCTTCTACAACTTGGCCTTTTCTGTAGAAGTTTCTAAGAGATTCTATACACATTTTCATTTTTCTTTATTATTTTTGAGTAAAAAATATTAATGCAAGTGTGACTGAAGTGCAACTTCAAGTGCATTATAATTTTAAAAATTCTGCATCTGTTCCCAGGGTGAAGTATCATTCTGATGCATATAAGCATGCATGTGTGCTTAGTCAATATTTGGTATACACACACACCTTGCAGAAAACCTCTACAGCACCAGAGAAAGCAAGCTTGTCCCTAAGTAGGCATATGAAAGAAGAAGAAAAGACTCAGACTAGAAGTACCAGGTTGAATCTAATTACAGTCTTTCTGTGTTAGAGCAAAGAGGCAGCTGATCCAGTAACCTGTTCCTGATAGTGATCGTTAATGGATGCACAGGGAGAAGTGCAAGAACAAGGCAGATGTTCAATGCCATCTCCCTAGTTGCCAGCACTTTCAGCTGCCAGCCAGGGGGTTATTAATTTAGGTGCACAGAGCCCACAAGGGAATTACTGAAAGGGAATTCTGTGTAAAATGGGCTTTTCACACAAGGTTGGATCTGCATCCTCTATCAAGTACCCCAATTCCTGGTGTCAGGGACACAGCAAAGCTTCACACTTCCCTACCAGGTAAGAGTTTGGAAAGTCCCTATTGTACAGAGAGAATTCTTCATTTTTATTCCATTTCTGCTGTCCTTAGAGACTGGGTATATTTGTGCTCTTCCCTTTATTCAGAATCCCAACCTTTAAAGGCAACAACCTCAGAAGTCCCTAGGTTAAGGTCAGGGGACTTCTGGGAAGGACCTCCTTAGAAACAGCAGGCAGGGCAGTGGGAATGTGTGATACAGATAATTCCAACAGCATCTGTGGCACATGTTTACTGTGTGTCTGTGTGACAGCAGAAATTTTGAGGTATCAGAGCCAATCTGGGTCAGCTGAGGGTATAGAAGATTGCACAGCAACCCTGTGATCCTTGACCTGTTAAAGGTTCAATAGCTGGAAAGAGACAGGTCTATTTATCACCTCAATAACAACTTACTGCATGTGTAAACTGAACATAGAAAAAATGGCAACAGAATGTTGGACCAACTGCTATATCTTTCTTGTTCAAACTTCAGATTTCTTAATCTTGTGGCATTGGGTTACAGTTGTTTGAACCCCTGACATATTTGTACAACATAAGGGGGTCAAAGAGCAGAGGGCAAGGCCCTGCCTGTAATGAAAACACGTACATACAACACACTGCAGGAGCTGCAGATCTGCCAACCAGCTGGGCTCAGGAAAGAAGGTCCCATTGTAGAGCACAGGCAAGAGCATTAACTTGGAGAGATGCAGAGAGACAGAATTGCTTCACAGTGGATGAATACACAGCATGTAAGTCCAACTTGGAATAAATTACTGAGATCAAACCAGGCAAGTCAGATTTCAATGCTCCTCCATTCCTCTGCTATTTAGCATTGTTACCAGTGAAAAAAAAGTCACCAGTAAATTACTGGCCCTGGTTTTTAAAATTAAAAAGTCATTCTACAGTGCATCAGTTTTCAATGTCTACCAGTGCTTTAGAGAAACCTGATTTCTATAAAGCGATGACCTTTCACTTACTGGGAATCAAAAGTTTGATAGTATTTAAAACTGAGCACTAAAATGGAGAGTCACTCTGAAAAATAAACAGACTTAACTGGAAAATTATTCAACTTGGCAAGCTGAAGAATAGTAAGATAGCTAAACACTTGTCTGATTTTTCCAAAAGTTTAAGTTAGTTTGTGAAGTAATAGCTTTATTTAAGAAACTTCATTCAACTCAGGAAAGCACTTATGCTTTTATCCAGGCTTAAGAGCAACCTCATTAAAGTTAATAAGCTAAAAAAAATCACAAAGACATGTATTGAAGTGCTACATCTATGAGAGATGTGGCTGTGTGCCTTTGTCTTTTTATGTGTTGGAGAGCACAGCCACTGTCTGAACAGGGGATTGCAGATGTTCTCTGTGGATTATTGTTTCATTCTCGTCAATAACATGACCCACAAGAAGTGCACTTGCATGCATAAAGATCTGAAAAAGGGGGAAAAGACCTGGCTTATTAAGTCTTCAAAGTTTTCAAATGCGATTTTAAACCGCCAAAGAATTTAATATTAGGCAGCTGTTTGTACATTTAAGTACTGTTATGAAAGTGAAACAGAAATCAGCTTGAAGATGTTTCCAAAATACTAGTCTATGGTTTAAATACAAACTCACATGTGATTTTAGTGTACTACCCATGACTGTACTGGAATGTTTTGTTTGACAGCTCTTCAGAATTAGCTTTCCAAAGTGGAACAGGAGATCTGAATGCTCCATCTCCAATAGATTGTAAGCTGAGCAGCTGGAGCAGCTGGGGACCCTGCGACCCATGCACCAATCAAAGGGTAAGCTATCATTGGAAGTCTTTATTCCAAAGCCACAATTAAGATATGCTATCTGTCTGCCTGTTGGTTATGGGGAAATATCAGATTGAAACTCATTATATACTGCATGTTCATGATTTGAAAAAAACCCATAATCATTTCAGATCTGCAGCCATAAGCATAATAGAATACTACATCCAGATGTACAATACCGGTCAAGTGCTCTTATTCAAAAAGTTTTCTCCATAGAAATTACCTATTTTGGTCATGTGGATGTTTCTATTAAGAACATTACTTTTCAATAAATTTTAAGTTTTTAAAATAAAAAAGCAACTTCTTTTCCAAAGCAGATTTTTATTTTCTTAGGGGAATTTTTCTTATGAGACTTTCAAATTGAAATTTCAAATTCAAAGTTCCTCTACATGTTGTTTTAACCATGAGATGTGCCTATGGATTTTCAACCAGAATTTCACCAAAGTTCCTTCATTTTGAAAAGTTCTAAATTCAGCTGGAAACCCTTCAGTTCTGGTAGAGGTCTCTTTTCTCTTTGAGCATTGTTGATAGTGCTATTTGTCTTTCCAGTTTCGCTCTAGATCTATTGAAAGATTTGGACAGTATGGTGGAAAACCATGCCTTGAGGCCCTAGGGGATTCACAAAGCTGTAAACCCAGTGAAGCCTGTCCTGAAGAACCAGAGCCAGACTGTGGAACTAACTTTCAATGTGGTTCTGGTAGGTTTTGTTTGCATGCCATGGCAAGTAATGCAGTAACTCAGAAATCACATTTTACTTAGTTCTGTGAGTAAGTTAAATCAGTCACCATCAGAGACAAAACACATGCAGAAAAAGAGAGATACACTTCATTGCTTTTCTAATTGGAGATGATTTCCTGAAGCAATGCCTTATACTAGCATTTAAAGACAGTCCATAGACAGTTTGTGTTTAAAGCCAAAATGCCAAAACCACAGCATGAACAATGTTTAAGAAGAGGTACATTTCTCTCATCTTCCATTAAAATTTGCATCTAATTTGAATTCTTCTCCTGTAATTCCTACTCCATGGTTAGAAGCTGACCATACTGTATCTGTTCTTCTAGCTTAACTGCTTCACCTGCTACTGAATCACTAAGTTGTGTGAAAAATCACTGGGAAAAAAAAAAACTAGGACTGAAAGAATATTAACAGAATGGATATGGAAGTTCCCTGATCTAAGTGGTATGGTAGATGCTAGCTGGAGGTCAGAATGCATCTAGATTCAAAGTAAGATATAAATCTGTAAAGTGATAAATGCATGGCATATGAATGAATGTAGTGCTCAAGATTCATCAAAAATCAAAATAAAATGGGAAAAGTTAATAGTAATAAAACTAGTCGAAGCAAAACCAGAAAGATAATAAATGAATTTTGAGCCTGAAGCCCTTTTTTGTTTTGTCTTTATCTCAAATACTGCGAAGTACAAGTAGAGAACGAAAAAATAGTATGCCTGTGGTAGTTAAAACTACTAGTTCACAGGCATTGTTTGGCACTTACTGGTGAGGCAGATGATATCAACAACTGTTGTTTTATTATGCCAGGCCTAAGTTATGCAAATCTTTAAGTCCTGTTGTAAAAAAACATGAATCTTTGTAAAACTTCGTGATATGTTGCCTCAAGAAAATTACTATTTCATTGTTGCATTAGAACACAAATCACTATAGTTTGGGACATTACAGTGTCCATATTATTCAGATAATATAGCCCAAATAGCAACAATTAAAACAATTTAGAAATCATTCTTTGTTGATGTTGAATTAATATTTTCCTGTATTGTCTTAATACAAATTTAAAAAATCACCAACCAACCTATAAATCAAAGTTTACCATAGCAACAATCTCACGAAGTAACAACTTTCTTCAGATGTCAGCAGTTCTCCTGCCACTTACTTTTCTCAGCCATCCTAGTAATTCATATGTAAACACAGTAGTATGCAGGTTATTTCAGTTGAAAGAGAGTAGGATTTTAATTCTTCCTGGCAATAATAGAAATATATGTAGAGGCAGGTGTCAATAAAAAGTAGCTGATGGTATCATTTAAAGTTCATCCTGACAAAAATGCACTCATGCAATGTTTTATTCTTTGATTAGGTCGGTGTATAAAGCGACAACTTGTGTGCAATGTAGATAATGACTGTGGAGACTATTCTGATGAAGCTGACTGTGAATCTGTCCCACGATCACCATGCCGCAACTATGAAATTGATGTGTCTGAAATTGGTCGGACTGCAGGGCAAGGGTATGTAGTGATGAAAAAAAGTAGTATTGGACCCTGTGAAGAGTTTAAGATTGTCTCCATAGCCAGCTAAAAAAATGGGGCACAATGGCATTCCTAAAAATGAAATCTGAATCATGCTAACAATTGTATTCAGAAATGCTGTGTAGCTTTTGGAACAACATTTAACTACAATTTTAGTTTCCAGACTTGCTGAGGATAAAATATTTATGCAGACAATGTAAATCAATCACAATGTTAGTACACAGTATCATACATAGATGTTATGCGAATAAACATACAATACTTATTATTATTTAAATCTAAGGTTTATAGAGATATAAATATGTTTCAAGTTACATTTGAAATCAATAATTCCCAATTACTTTACTAAAATGCATGCCTAAACAAGAGAAAATGTCTCTTGAATATTTTTCAGTGGGATGCCTTACTGCAGATGTGCCTGCCTCCCTGGTTTTGCACTGGTTTTGATTTCCTCTCTTATGCTCAAGGAAATGTTATTCCACCAGGTCACACTCTGAAAGAAGAGACAATGCTAGGAGCAGCTGTATATTCCTCCCATAGATTTGATGGATACTGTACACACTTGATAACAAAATTCCTACAAGCAAACAAACTAATATAAGTTATGAAAACAATACCCCAAACCAAGCCAAAAGCTGGTTAAAAACAGGTGTTGACATGTCCCTTTTAAACCTGTAAGGAATGCTTTCTCTCAAGTATATCGGTCAAGCAGAAATGGTTTTTAATTCCTTTTATTCCTAAGGTTCTCACTGTGTTTGATATTTAATGTCTTCATTCTTTTCTTTCTCATACATGGCCCTTAAAGAGCTTTACAAAAGATGTATCTTTATCTCCATTATACAGATGAGAAGACCACAAGAAATGATGCAAGCTGCTTGGATAAAGCCAGATTCGGTTCCACAGCTACAGTCACCATCACTTATAGAATCTGACTTTCCCAGTCATAATACCACTGTCTACAGGTTATTGGTGCTGACACCTCCTTTATGAAGCATAACATCTCTTGTCGTTTTCTTGCAGACTCAATGCATTAGGGTTGCAGCCAATGGCCAGCCCATTTGACAATGAATTTTTCAATGGTCTTTGTGAAAGGGTGCGTGATGGAAACACACGGGTATACTACCGCAAGCCATGGAATGTTGTTGCTCTCAGTTATGATGTAAGTTTAAATGCTCCTATGCAAACTAGGTTGTGTTTAACTGAATGCTGAATTCTGACTTCCTCTTGGAAGACTCAGAAGCTTTTTAATATCAAGGTTGTGGTACAGTCCAGAGGAAAATAGGTTATGTTATCATTTACTTTAGCAGTTAAGCTCAGTTGTGCCAGTTAAATTCCCACATGCTCATTGCTGCGTCTTTGCACAAAAAAATGAAACTATCTTACCGGAATATTTGCAATATGAGTGGAAGAGATGAACAGAAGATGTACAGAAAGGATTATGATACCTAACTTTTACTGGGTAGAGTGGTAATTAATTACTTTATGTTCTGCTTAAGTATACAAAAATAAACACTGAAATAGGTATTCTGAATTAGCTACTGTCTGCTATAAGAAAGAAAGGCAAAATCATAATTTTTACGCAGTTTAGATGTCAGGAACTATTAGCAAATCTTATCTGCATTCTAGGAAAGAGCCAGAGACACCATTCCTTACATAGGATTATAGAATCTCCTCAGTTGGAAGGTATCCACAAGGGTCATCCAGTCCTCCTGGCCCTACACGGGACAGAACTAAGAATCACAGTGTGTGCCTGGAGCATTGTCCAAACATTTCTTGAACTCATATCAGGCTTGGTGCTGTGACCACTTCACTGGGGAAGCTGTCCTGGTGCCCAATCACCCTCTGGTAGAAGAACCTTTTCCTGATATTCAGCCTAACCCTCCCTTGACACAGCTTTATGCTGTTCCCTCGGGTCCTGTCACCAGAGAGAAGAGATCAATGCCTGCACCTCCAACACCGAGGAAGCTGTAAACCATGTAAAGGAACAGTTGACACACATAAATTACTTTGACAGTGTTACATGCTGAGCTTTAATAATCACTGAAATGTTGTCATTGCACTTTTCTGTTCAGTTTTGAACCACTGAACTGAACCAGATTAAGTGGTTTGTGGAGGGAGTGGTATTTCCATTTGTTCTCTTTTAAAAGGAAAAAGAGCTGTAAGAAAATGTGATGCTAATTTATGTAAAAAATACTGCTGTAAAGTGTTACACAGATTTTTCTATTACTGCCCGTTTTGTTTTCTCACACGATCTTTCCATTATTTTTTTCTAAGACAAAAGCAGACAAAACCTTCTCATCTGCGTACTATCATGATCGTGCACAAATGATACGAGAGGTTTACAAGACAAAAGAGACACAATTTAGTGCTGGACTATCTATCAAATACACACCTACTGAGGGAAAGAAGAAACTTCAAGCAGAAGGAAATGCCAAGTTTAACTATCACAAGAATGCATCCTTCTATTCATACCTGGAGAGCTACTTTGAAAGGGTGAGTTTAATTCATTTAAAGGGTTTTATGTAACAATTCTACACACAATAAAGTTTTTGTTCAGTGTTAGAATAGTGCATTAATAATCTTT